ATGATTCTATGATTCTGTGATTCTATGTTAGGGGCTGGCCGCGCAGGGCCGCCAGGCAATGCTTGGTGAACCCCCTTGGGCTGTGAGCAAAGCCAACGCAACAACAGACAGTTCCCCCCCCCCAAGCCAAGGACAGATGATGACCTCTGCTTCTCTGCCTTCCTTGGCCATGGGCAGCCAGCACCACCCGGTCTGCAGCTCTCCCCTTCTGCCACAGCCCGAGGGTCTCTCGGCACAGCCGCTGCAAGCATGGGAACGCAGGCATCACAGACGTAGTGGGGGAAGAAGGCTCCAGGCTTTAGCTGTGTCTCCCACCTGCCTACCTACCCTGTCCACTCTCACGTCCATAATAAATATAACCCTTCTTCTGTCTGCAGGCACACGCACAAATGCATCTACACACTTATTTTAATGGCAGCTTGTCAGGGATAAAAGCTCAGCTCGTGTTACGCTGAATCTGAAAATTTGTTACTGTGGTTGGGATTGCTAAACTGTGATCAGGATCAAGAAACAAGGGTCACCCTTTCGGAAAGACCAAAACTGCCCCATTTCATTCCTTGGTGAATGAAAGGTGTAACACAGAGGGCTCTTCCCGGTCCCTACCTCTAGCTCTTCCTCTGTCTTGCCCCAGCAAATACGGGACTTTGTCCTCTCCCACTTTCCCAGGTTGGCCATGATAATTCTCTCTACAGCTCCAGGATCCCCTTTCGTCCAAAACACTGAATCTGCAGCCGTGTGCCATTGCTGACCCCTTTCCCTCTCTGCACTCGTTTCCTTTCTTCCTTTGCACCCATTTTCTCCCCACTCCTGTGCCTTGAAGGCTCTGACATGCCCGCTCTGAGTCCCTCTGCTCTGCCAAAGCTTGTCTGTGCCCACATCCCCTGTTCACTGGCCAGTCCCGGTGTTCAGGTTTCTCCTGCAGTGTCCCCCAGAGTGGAAACAACCCCTCTTGTCTGGAGTTGCCTGCTTCCTCCCGTCACCCCCGTGCTTAAGAAAGAGCACTGTTCTTCTCACGCCACGTAGAATGGGGACAAACTTGCGGAGAGGACTGGAAGCCACTGAGCCAACAGGGCCACTTGCAAAGAGGTTGTAAGCGGTGACAAGGCCTGGACTTTGAAAGTTTCAGAGGCAGCATCCTTTCTCCCCTCCTCCACTCCAGTCTTGCCCCATAGCTAGAAAAAATACCTGGCGATTAAACAAATGCGGAATATGGTTGTAAAGACCTTGTTGGAAATAAATGGTCAGAGAGATCCTCGCCCTTGAAAAATTTGAAAATTCCTTTTATAAACAGAAATTCTAGTGCAGTTATTTAACACACCTCAAACTTAAGGGTCAAACTGAACGATATGCTCTCCTGTATCTCTTTCTCACGTCAGGTTACCTTGCGCCACACACCTCAACACCAGGAAAGGAGAGAACCAAAACACTGGTTATCCTTGGCTTATTTTCAGATTTCCAGGTGTGGGGTGCCTTTTTTAACCCTTGATTGCCCCTATATACTGAAAAAAATTTAAATCTCCTCGTATTGCAGCAGGTGACTTTGTTGCGTTTGGAGCACTGATTATTAGCCAGGTATACCTGTTTGTTTTATAAATTCCCCTTAGTATCAGCATTTATATGAGTATCATTTACATCAACAACAAGAAGTTTGTGGTGCCACTGAGATAATTTCCCAGGTGTCTTAGAGATGTGTTTACGTGCCACCTATTGTCTCTGAGGCTTAAAGACAATGGGAGATGCTTGCGTCTCTCCCCTTGTCTCCACTGGAAACCACTTCTGGAAGGTGTTAGTAGAACCAGATTGAAAGAAGCGTGTCTTTCAACCGTCCCTTGAGCTTCAAAGTGCTTCATGCCCTGAGTTTCTATAAAATCCTGCAACGAGCTGGGT